ACCACTGCCCTAACCAACTGAGATACCCATCCAGGGCCTATATGTACTTTAAAATGAATGATCTGGTGTTTTTCAGCTATACAGATTATATCTTACATATAGAGTCTTGAATGTTTGGAAAATTACTTGATTTCCTTCAGAGCCAAAATAGGGATCGCTTTAAGAGTCATGTGCATTTGATTGTATTTCTCCTTGGTCCTTGTAATTGGGAAATCCATGTCCTATTGGTTCTACTGGAGTACCTTGCCCTGAAAGCCCTGTCACAGCAGCTGGCAGGACAGCGGACCCTGGACTGGGTCTCACAGTTGGTCTGTTTCTGTCCCTAACTTATCCAGTGGCCTCACACACTTGAACAATCCTTCTGGGCTCAGTTGTTTTCCCCTTGAAATGACATCAATGCTTTCTAAAGTCCCGCATGGCACTAACAGTCGATGCTATTATTCCATAATCCCCAGCTGTAGTGTGTAGCAGGGGACAAGGGTGCCAGTGCTGTAAGTACATCATAGTACTTACTCAGCACCCCATGGTTTTCTTCACCTTGCCCTCCAATCTCCCCAAAGAATGGAGTGTCCACAGTGGCCAGGATGATACACTAATATGAAGCAAGTATGCTGTGAAGCAAATCTCATTTCATTTGCCTAAGAGCACTTAATGTTATCCTTGATTTTGTCAGGGTACCCAAGCAGAATTTCTTCCGGGTGTCCTTAGTTTATAAAGTCAGCAAACTGAAGCTTTGAAAATAATTTGATAATATGTTCCAAAACCACTGAATTAGGGATTTTCTAGTCTCCATTGGGGGCCAGTACCTTTCCATTCTTCACTCTACTATTGATATTTTTGTGTTTTTGTTTGTTTGTTTGGTTTTCGTCTTTCAATAGAAGAAGGTTCAAGCTTGGAGGAAATTGGCTTTAACTGGGGCGAGTACTTGGAAGAAACGGGTGCCAGTGCAGCTCCTCACACATCATTCAAACACGTATGTATCCTCCCTTCTCTTTCTGGTCTGCATTTGGAGGGTGGGAGGGGAACCTGCAGGAAGATGCCAAACCGATTGGAAGAAAGGGAATGAGAAAAGAAGGGAAATCCAGTCAAGATTTCTTAGAAATACAGAAGAAATGGGGAAGTTTGTTTGCTTAGCTGCAGGTAGGGTTGGCCTGGCTCTTGTGGCTTATCTCATCTAACACAGGGCTGGGCTCAGGGTGGGTGAGAAACAATGTGTGATCTTAACCTTGTCTCATACCTCAAAATGTCAAATTTGACAGACGTGGCCCTTGCACAGGGCCTGAGACGGGCAAGATTGGTTAGAATAAATAAAAGCCAGCAAACTAGGTAAGTATAATATCTTCTTAGGAGGTGTAATGGCTGTGATGGTTTATTTTGGAGTGATGGTTTTTTACGTTTAATTTAAAAATCTTTTTAATTAAGCCAGTCAGAGAAAGATAATATCACATGGTCACACTCATTTGTGGAATATAATGAACAACATAAGCTGATGAACAAAAATCAAACCAGAGTCATAGAAGCATTGAACAGACTGTCTAATCTATGAGG